GGGGGGGGGGGGTGCTATTTGCGTACTTTAACGTACTTTAATATTTCGCGACGAGCGAGCCTGGGAACAAGTTTTGCAAAATTCAAAATGGCTGCCACCACTTCGTTAGTTTCCTATGATAGTGATTCTTCAAACGAAGAAATAGGTAGTAAAGATTTACCTGATGACAATGAAAATACAGTAGATAATACTGTGGTTATTACTGCTTTGAAATCAAAGATTCTTTTGAATAGTGCGCCAGCAGTCACAGCTAAGGTAGAGATGAAAACACAAAATAAATACTTTATGTCTTTTATATTTATAAAATCATAAGGCTTCCCAGTAGACAGGCCAATTTACCATATTAAAATGTAAAATTTGCATGCTTATATATTATTTCAAAAATATATAGGAAGATATTGGGACTGTTATTCATCTTGATCCCACGGAAAAAGAAGTGACATTCAATCCAAAGTATGAACAGCTTTTTGCTCCTGCGGTATGTTTTATAGTTTTTATAGTTGTGAAGCCTACAAACAACTAGTATCCTGCGGTTTCAGCTGAAGCTGCAAAATATAGGCTATGTTAGGGGCTGTTTACATGAGCCCTACAGGGAGGGCTGGCCCTACTAGGCGAGATCCCACATGCTATTTGAAATCCTTATTAAAAATTGTTTACGTTTACATGAGAAGAGGGCCAGCCCTCCTAGGCGAGATCTCACTATTATTCACCCGAGATCTCGCCTAGTAGGACTGGAATTTTCTCATATAAACGCAGTAGAGAGGGCTGGCCCTGCTAGTAGGGCTGAGTGAAAAAGCGTTGAATCGATTTTAGACTAAACTCTTTTAAGGATGTAGTTCTAAATAGTGATGGGCGATACCAGGATTTTTAATTCGATACCGATACCGATACTTTTAAGATCGGTATCGGTCGATACCGATACCTATTTCGATACCAAAATGAACACAAAATTTCAATTTTCGATACCGGAAGTGAGTACTTAAATTGCTAGTATCGGCCACTTTCGATACCTGCCGTTTAACGGAAAACCATTTTACATTACTGTATGTAACCTAAATAAAGCTAATAAAAAGCTAATAAGTAAACCAAAAGCTCGAAACGTAATAAATATTTTTTAAACATGACTTGGCGCACCACATTTGGAATATTAAGAGTTATTTTAGTGGTTCATTAAGTCTTATTCAACCAAGAAGTGAAATTAAACAATTAAAAAAGGGTGCAAGTATCGAACGATACCACGTCAGTAATCGATACCGATACCGCTGTTTGTGGTATCGCTGGTATCGGATACCGAGTACTTGGTATCGCCCATCACTAGTTCTAAATGGATATTCAAATGTCTGTTGGCTTTTATTCCAAAATTTATTCGGCAAACTATGATTTTCGATGCTGAAATAAAAATAATGAGTCGCACAGAAGCCATTTAAGTGCTACTTGCGAAAGCAAGATATCCCTACCAGTAGGGCTGATTTTTCTCATGTAAACAAGTGGTGAAAATTAGCCCTACTGCTAGGGCCAGCCCTCCCGGTAGGGCTCATGTATAAAACAGTCCCTTAGTTGGAAATTTTTTTGCTTAACATTTACAGTGAAGCCGGTTAGCACTAGTTTCCATCTGTGAAATTGACGTGACGTCATTTTCAGAAGATGGAAGGGGTGTTAAATGGCTATGTAACTAACCCAAACCCTACCCCTACTCTAACCCCTAACTCTAACCCTAACCAAATTAATGAAAAAATCCAGAAAGAAACAACTTTAGAAATTGATCAAATTATGTAATGTCAGTTTGGTAGATGGAAACTAGTGAAAACCTTACAGTGAGCTCTATATATTTATCTGGAGCAAGAACTTTGACTGTTTGACAGCCATTTGTCAGTCAGTGGAACTGAATCCCATAGCTTTATTTTTACTCAACTTCTCACTCCAGATATATATAGAGCTTACTGGGTGGGCATTTAATAACAATGGGTATGAGTGCCATCAGTTATGTACCGATCAATTCGAAACTTCATCATCCCCCCCCCCGGCATACCCCGGGAATTTGACTTCAAGTCTTCTCCAGGGAGTAGGGAATTTGATGTTCTAGGTCTTCAATGTGGTGGGGGTGGGGAATTTGAACCATTTGTCTAGGTCTTCCATGTGGTGGGGGTGGGGAATTTGAACCATGAGTCTTCCATTTGATAACAAGGTGGGGAATTTGAACCGGAAGTCTTAAAATTTTGCCCGTTTTCGTGTGCTTCCTGCATGCACAGAAAATACTTCGCACAGTTTTCTCAGATTTCGAGGGAAACAGCCTCAATTTTATGAAAAAAACTGGCTCAAAGAAACAGGCATGGAAAGTCTATGTGCTTCATTTGAAGGTATGTACTACATAATTGTGTAAAACTATTAAATTCCACAAGGTATCCAAACTTTTTATGTGAATTTCACTATCTTGTCGAAAAACATTTCCGTATATTTTGTACTTTTTGTATTTACTGTTTCATAATTTTCATATGAAGGTGGGGCATTTGAATGCTTAATTTCTTGTTACAGTGGGGCATTTGAAGACATTTTTTGCAAAGGGGGTGGAGAATTTGATCAATCAAATTTCAAAAAGTTCAAATTCCTGGGGGGGGGGGATGGTGAAGTTTCGAATTGATCGATACATTACCAGAACACAAAAGCATTAATTACGAAGCATGGGCAATAACAGTGGGCAATGAATGCCACTTTTAGGGTAACATGGTATTATAAAACAAGCAATGAAAAAATGGAGTCAGTAGGTAAGCCAATAAGCCAACCTAACCACCAAAAAATAGGGTTGGCAGAAAAAAAGTGCGTTGATTAGGAAACTGGAACCACAGAATAAGTTTTATGAATGAATTAATACCACAATAAGTAATTATGGTTTATTTATTCTGACTATTAAAATTTATAGGTTGGACCCCAAAATCCTTTTAAAACTAAACAACAAAAAGCACAGAAAAACACACTTTCAGGTACATAATTTGCATCATCTTGTATCTCAGATAATCAAACAAACAGTTTTTATTTCATTCAAGTTTTTTTTTGTCTTGTACAGGTTTTGTTGCACCAGCTCATATGAGCAAGTTTCAGTTTGACAATCAGATGAAAACATTTTCCAGTTATGGTGAGCTTTTTAAAAATGTACATTTATGTCTATTTTTCACATAAAAATTAGTTTACTGATGATGTCTCGTTGTTTGTTTTTGCAGGGTATGCCTTAGATCCAAGTGACGATACTGCACACATTGAGGAAAAGTAAGCCCATTTATAATGGTGTCAGGATAACCAGTATGTGGGGAAGTGACCACCCCCCCTAGAAAACATGTACCTCACACACCCCTGAGCACTTTATGAGCCTGACTATGTCTTTAGAATCAACACCTTGATGGGTTTAAGTTGTAATTGTGCAGCTGTTTATCAATGTTATGAATATTTGTATAGGTTTGTAGGTGATTTAGAAAAGGCGAAGGAAAGTAAAGGTTTAACTGTATTTGAAGCATCAAAACCTCGAGCTGGAGACAAGAGAAAGAGAGAGGATAGAGGGGATCCTGGGGTGATTGAAGGATACAAAGGTATATTCGTGTACATTGGGGTGATGGTGAAGTTATGTTGATATATATTAGAGTGATTATTTGGGATAGGGTTGATACAACAAGTGAAAAGATGCATGACTTGATAAATCAATTATTACTAGGACCTTGGAGTAAGTTTGCTGATGAAGAAGCCATTGCCAAGCCATCTGAGGTATGCTTTAATTTTGCCACACAGTTTTATCAGTTAGTATTAGGCTAGGTTGGTGCTGAGAATTGCAAGAGTTTAAGGATAAAACATACGAGTTCGTTTTTCTTGCAGGAAGAGTCAAGTAAACTTGAGGAGTATGAATTAACAAAGAAAAATAAAACGAAGAAGGAAGATGATAAACCAGTTGAAGAAAAATCAACTTTACATGGTGAGTTGCCAGTCCTGGAAATGATTCAAGAATCATTGACTTTAAACAAGAGATGATCCTTACTGGACCTCCATGAAGAACAGTTCAGAAATGATAAATCTATTCAGTATAAGTAAAGTTATAGTTTCGTTTAGATTTCCTCCTGTAGTAACAATGGATGAATAAGGAATGATCCTGACTGGACCTCTAGGAAGAACAGTTTAGAAATGATAAACATATCCAGTATAATTGATAAAGTTAGTTTAGTTTAGATTTCCTCCTGTAGTAACCCTGGGTGAACAAGGGATGATCCTTACTTACTTACTTACTGGACTTCTAGGAAGCGCAGTTTAGAAATAATAAACCTATCTAGTATAAATAAAGTTAGTTTAGTTTAGATTTCCTCCTGTATAGTAACACTGGATGAATAAGAAATGATCCTGACTGGACCTGTAGGGAGAACAGTTTAGAACTGACAGAACTAGCCAGTATAAATAAGCTGTTAATTTACTAGCTGAGTAACATCACAATAACAATGTAATGTTGGTTACGGTATTTCAGTCAAAGATGCATACGACTACCAAGGACGTTCTTACTTACACATTCCACAAGATATTGGTATCAACCTCAAGACAGATGAGCCACCCGAGAGATGTTTTTTGCCAAAACGACATATTCATACATGGCAAGTTACCATCATTTTCTCTACAAAGAAAGGACAATAACTATAAACGCACGACGCAACTCTCTGTTTTCCAATACGTTGGCTTGTTTAAGCGTGACAGTTTTTAGTCCTATTAGCGCTCTCAAGCATGTAATGAATGATGTTGAACCATAGACAATCCAAAAGAAGTCTGTTTGTCTTCTGGATTGTCTATGGTTGAACTAAAATCAACTTTATTGTCGTGTCTGCTCGACTAATTAAAGATCATTTACATTACGAGGTATTTACGATCTCTTCGTCCATGTGAAGCGAGCGACGTGCTCGTATTAAGTCATGTAAGGTCTGGTTTACAGTATCAAAGTTTCTGTGATCACAGTAGGAATTTTGCATCGGTAAATTCTACGTTTTGAAGGATTTGTAAGAAATGTTTGAGAAAACTGACTTAGTGTTTAACACTTAGTGAGTTCTCTCAAACATTTCTTACAAATCCTGCAGGCCTTAAAATATCTTTTACAGGGCCGTCTGACAAAATGTCCGGTGACGTTGAGTTTGGGTCGGACATATTGTCCGATGACCTTCAGTTCAGTTTTGACTCGGAAATAAGTCTGAATGACACAAATGAATAACGGTAAATGTTGTAAAGATATTAAATAATTTGTTTCTTTCATACTTATTTCCAAGCCAAAATTAACTTGCTTCCCAGAACAGCAGTATTAAAAGACTTCGACAACTTAAGACCGTTAACTTTCCACTTCACCAGTTCGGTCGCCGCCCCGCGCTCGACTACGTTAAAACAACATTTCCAGTTCACCTTTTATACAATAGTATTCTGATTTTCCATTTAACATACAAGCCTCTAGTCCTGGGCTAGGTTACATTTTGATTTACGTCGGACAAAGCTACAGTTCGGTCGGTCACCAATTTACTTGGGTCGGACAAACAATAAACCTCAGTTTCACTTAGGTCGGACAGAATGTCCAGTAGTTTCCTCTCTACGTCGGACAATTTCACGAATGGGTCGGACAATGTCCGTGACCGACCAATATTTTAAGGCCTGAAATCCTTCAAAATTCTTACCGATGCAAAATTCCTGCTGTGATCTCAGAAACTTTGATAGTGTAAACCAGTTTTTAAGGCAGCTGTTCAACATGGTTCATGTACAGTTTAACCTTGATGTTTTGTTCATTAGGTCTGGTCATACAAAAGGGGTGTCTGCAATCAGATTTTTCCCAAGATCGGCACATTTACTTTTATCCTGCAGTATGGACTGTAAAATTAAGGTACAGTAAGATTTACTTAGGTCAGAACGCGTATGCACCGCGTACTGTAGCATGTGATTGTGAAATGCGTTTCGGATGCATTCATAATACATGCACGTAGTATTGAATTGAAAACAATTTCTTTTTCTCGTAGTTGTGGGAGGTTTATGGTGACAGAAGACTTCTTCGAACATTCAACGGTAACATTTACCTTTTTCCTTAATTGCGTCAGTGGGGCGTAAAAAAAACCCTGTGGTTCCGGTTCCCGACCGACCCTATTTTTTTCTGCTGACCCTATTTTTTTCTGCCGATCCTATTTTTTTCTGCCGACCCTATTTTTTTCTGCCGATCCTATTTTTTTCTGCCGACCCTATTTTTTTCCCTATTTTTTTCTGCCGACCCTATTTTTTTCTGCCGACCCTATTTTTTTCTGCCGACCCTATTTTTTTCTGCCGACCCTATTTTTTTCTGCCGATCCTATTTTTTTCTGCCGACCCTATTTTTTTCTGCCGACCCTATTATTTTTTCAACGCGATTGACCGCGCGACCCTATTTTCTCCAGGTGGTTGCGGGCTGCTCATACAGCGTGCCAAAATGGCGTCTGTTGTCACACTAATTATTGAACCAAATTGCCTAAATTCGTCCATAGGAAATAGTGATGGGCGATTACCGATTACTTGGTATCGATACCACCCGATACCAGGCCCAAACAGGAAGTAGTCGATACTGCACGGTATCGAAAAAGTGTTTCGATTACTTTTATAATTAGACATTCATTATAATCCTGTAGTTGTGTCATCATTTTCATGGTTATTTCTAATAAAATTTATGTACTTTTTTGTATTTTGCTGCATTTATCAATTTAATCAAACTTCCTTTATACTTTATTTGACATTCTATCCTCGCCGATAGAATAAATTATGAAAAAGGCGGGAAATAAAGTAATTTTTGTTTTTTTATGGATTAAAATGGCGGATCAAATCGTTACTGTTAAAAATATGTAACTTTCTGAAAATATATCGTTACTGTTACAGTAGAAGGCTACTTCTTTAACAGTCGGCTCTTTATTAAGTGACTTACGTTTATTACTATGAAAATTGGAGGAAGTAATCGTTTGGGTAATCGATACCTCGATACTTTAACCAAAAAGTAATCGGTATCGTATCGAAACCGATACTGGTGGTATCGCCCATCACTAATAGGAAATACGCATCTCTAGTTAATATTTGATGTCGGGACTCTACTGCAAATCGCTCAGCAAAAAACCGCCACAGCCATGAAAAAAATATTAAAAAAAAATTATTTCCTAATTTTTTCACGATATGAAACCGGAACCAGGAAGTTTTTCACGATATGAAACCGGAACGCCTTGGCAGTTGCAAACAAATGCTTTTTCTATGCTATACTAAACCTGGTCCCCATTGGGGCATAATCTGCCTGACTTTACATTACATGTGAAATGGTCTGGATCTATCTTGTCTTTTTTGCGCTGTATGCAAATAAGTCTCTATTGGCCCAAAAATCTCGATATTTACCATATAACTTCTACTGGCATCACTCAATCATATACATGAACCTGTGGTTACTGCTCACTGCTCAACAAGTGGAGGGTGAGTAGTTGCATAGTAAGGTACAACACTATAACAACCAGCCAGCTATTGAACCTCTACTCTTTGAGTGTGGGCGTGAGGGGAGCTTTTAGAATACAGAAGTTCTTTACGGAAGGGTCTATTATAATCTTCGTCTTATTTCAGGGCACAGTAAAGCAGTTCGAGATATATGTTTCAACAATGATGGTTCAACATTTCTGAGTGCAGCCTATGACAGATATTGCAAGCTCTGGGACTCTGAAACTGGTACATTTTCTGATGACACTTTTCTTAAAAGGCTGGTTTACACTATCAAAGTTTCTGTAATCACAGCAGGAATTTTGCATCGATAAATAAGGTTTTGAAGGATTTGTAAGAAATGTTTGAGGGACCTGACTTAGTGTGCTAACGCTGACTCAGTTTGCTCAAATATTTCGTACAAATCCGCCTCCAAAACTTAGAATTTACCAATGCAAAATTATACTGTCATCAGTTCTTTGTATGTTTGCATGGTGATAAAATATAATAGTTTTGTTTGTGGAAACACCACGTAAATTTATTACTGCAAATTTATTAATTATTATTATTAATTATTATTTTTTAATTTATTACTGAAAGCTTTGCAGTAATAAATTTACGTGGTGTTTCCACAAACAAAACTATTATACTGTCATCCTTTACAATATTCACTATACGTAATCCTTACGATCTGTTTGTTTAGGCCAGTGTGTGGGGAGGTTTACGAACAGAAAGGTTCCATATTGTGTCAAATTTAACCCAGACGAGGTAAGTATTAAAATATGTTTCAGCACATGGCGACCAACTTTCTAGAAGGGACAGGCAGTCATCAGAGTAACTGATATGCATTGACCATGTGTTTGGTAACCAACACATGTGATGGGGGGGGGGGGTGCTAAGCATCCTTACTTGCAGCTGAGAGCTAAGCCACAGAATAAAGTGCGTAAGGGATTATTAAAAGTGCGTAAGGGATTTTTTCAGTCCGCCATGTTCTTAGCAAGTGCCCTAAAGAGAGGCAGTCACCCCCTGAAAACATATTGAAAATGTAATATTCCAGGGGGGTGAATGCCTCTCTTTAGGGCACTTGCTAAGAACATGGCCGCCAGCTATTTCGGTAAAAAGCGCCTTACGGTTTTGTAATGGAAGTTACACTTCTGTATGTCTTTATTCTGTGGTTAAGCTGAGTGTGGAAAGACGCAGCTCAGCATGATCGAGACGAAGGCTTTCTAAGGACAGCCACCTTGTGACTCATATCTGATCAAGGAGCACAGCTACTGTGGAAGGGTCCTGCCACTTTATCAATATTCCCTGTGTGAGGAAACCGGAATACCTGGAGAAAAAACACGACTTTCGGTAGGGTGTTCACTGACTCTTTTTACATAACTGTCTTGAGTCCGCAGCGAGAATCGAAACCACGATCTACTTGATCTGACGGTTGCATAATTTGCGTCATATATTTGACCACCATGTGTAACGGTACATCATTAAAGTTGTGCTTTTTCATATAGGACAAGCAACATCTCTTTGTATGTGGCACTTCGGATAAGAAAATATTAACAGTAAGTGCATGAGTTTATATTAATCATGTCGTATTTTGTAGTATAGTCAACTGAAATTTCTCTTAATTTTTGCCTCTAGTGGGACACTCGAGCAAACGAAATTGTTCAAGAATATGACAGGTTAGACACGCAAACTACAACACAGTGACAAAAAAGAGAAAATGTATTTACTAACAAACGCTTGTTTATTTCTAGACATTTAGGTGCAGTGAATCAGATCGCGTTCGTTGATCAAAACAAAAAATTTGTCAGTACTTCAGATGACAAAAGTGTTCGAATTTGGGAATGGTGAGATATTTATTTAGCAATCCTCCAGTTGACATAATTATGACCACAAGCAACCATTTTCTAGTATAGTTGCATGCTGAAATATTCATTTGTCCATTTTGTCGCAATGCGCTCTAATGCTCTGTAGTTTTGTTACTTTGCTCTCTCTGACGACAGATGATTTTACTCTACAAGTGAGAAGTGTTTGATAATTACCAAAATTAAATATTTTAGGGATATTCCCGTTGACGCGAAATATATAGCAGAACCAAGTATGCATTCAATGCCTTCGATTACAGTTCATCCAAACGGTACGTTACTTTAATGTTAAAGTATAAATTGTATACGGCCTAAAAAAAATACCCGTGGTTCCGGTTTCATATCGTGAAAAAAATTAGGGTCGGTAGGTCGGAAATAATTTTTTTTAAAAATATTTTTTTCATGGTTTTGGCGGGTTTTTGCTGGGAGATTTGCAGTAGAGTCCCGACATCAATATTAGCTAGAGATGCGTATTTCCTATGGACGAATTTAGGCAATTTGGTTCAATAATTAGTGTGACAACAGACGCCATTTTGGCCATAGAGATTATAAATAAGTGTTATTTATAATCTCTATGATTTTGGCACGCTGTATGAGCAGCCCGCAACCACCTGGAGAAAATAGGGTCGCATGGTCAATCGCGTTTAAAAAATAATAGGGTCGGGAGAAAAAAAGGGTCGGTCGGGAACCGGAACCACAGGTATTTTTTAGGGCTAGGGATGCAAGTCTAGGGATGTATAAAAAGTCCGGTTGTATAAAAACGTAGTTAGCGCTAACTGCAGTTAAAAAGTAGTTAAAAAGCCTTAAAAAAATAGTTAATTTTAATCACGTAGTTAAGCCGGTTGTATAAAAGTGTAGTTAGCCTAAACTGCAGTTAAAAAGTAGTTAAAGTTAACTATACTTTAGGGTATAGTTAACTGTCCAAAACGTAGTTAAAAATGGCGTTTGTATAGGAGTGAACAACATTTTTCAGTAAAACAATAATGAAAAGCAACGCTTACCTGAGATTTTCAATCGCTATCTTCCCTGTGACCGACGCTATCGCTTTGGTGTTTTTACGAAAACAGAACATATTTTTGCACAGGACGATTTCTCGAAGACGAAGTATGGTCCATTACACCAAGAAACACTGATATATAATTGCCAAACAGCTATACTTTGGTATAACGTAGACATCTCAAGGAAAACTGCATTCTTTTATGATTTTTGTGGCGGTTTTTCCTTGTTTTTCGTTTATTTTTCACTGTTTTCTAGTGTTTTGAATAAAATTCCCGCCTATTTGCAAAATACGAGTCCACAATCATGTCGAAAATGTGTGTCAGCGGTCGTTACTCGCAGCTTACTTTATGTAATTTTGTGTTTAAACGCCCCACGCAAGCCCCACGCACAGTTAACTACGTGATTAGTTAACTATCCGACTAACTACGTTTTGTGCAATGCAGTTAAGTCATGTAGTTAACTAATTACAGTTAAGGATTTAACTACAGTGATTAGCGCTAACTACAGTTAGCGCTAATTACGTTTTTATACAACCGGCCCCTGGAAAATACAAGGAGCCCTTCATCGCGAAGTTCCTGTAGGAATATTAGATGAAATGATATTTTAAGACATCTTTCATTTCATTTCCATGTGGCAGAGAAATGGCTGGCATGTCAATCGATGGACAATCAAATTACCATCTTTGGAGTTCAGAACCGTTTCCGTTTGAACCGAAAGAAAACATTTAAAGGTCACATGGTTGCTGGCTACGCATGTCAAGTTAATTTCTCACCAGATGGAAGGTAAGTCAATCGGTTCTATACTGTCCTCCCCAGAGCTCGAACACGTGCCATCCAAGGGTTACCAGAGGACGAAAGTTTAATTAATTTAAACTAACTTTACTGGATACCTCTTCGAAACTGTTCTCCCTAGGGATCCAGTATGGGCTATCCATTTTGGCTCTAGCGTTACTATAGGAAGAAATACAAAACAAGTGAAACTCCAAAAATCGATAGCATTTTTATTTATCTACGTTTCGACTATATTTCAGTCATCATCAGGATAAACTAGCTAGGTTATATACCAAAAGCGGTATTTATATGAAGAAATATGATACAATAGTTAGGTTGATTATTAACGAATTAATGAAATATGATTAGTTATTTTTTCTTTCATTCATATCACACAGAATCTGTAATCCATCAACACCTCTCTACTTGCGAACAGTTTCAACATATTAAAGCCCTTTTAGAACTTTATCCCGACGATGACGCAAAGTCTGATCAAACCAGTATAATGGCTGAACATGTTTTCAACAAC